TATATATATATATATTTATATATAAAGATAACTGAAATATACCAGGCAAGTTAGCTATAAGGACATGTGAATGTGAGCACTTGCATAAAAAGTACAGGAAAAATCAAGTGTTCACAGCAGAGCATCTGCAGCTGTAAGTGTGCAGTGAGTTCAGCTCTGCTGTCAGCTGGCATAAGGGACAGGAGGAGACAAACTCAGTCCTGAGACAGGAGAAGAAAAAAGTGTCCTAGTCAAATCCCTGTAAGAAAAAGTAAGGCACAACTTAAAAAGATGAAAGGGAAATAAATGTATGTAAAGCAGCCAGGAGAATAATAATAAGCCTTGGCAGAGGATTAAATGAAAAATGTACACAGCCTAGTGTTTAAAATGAAAGGATTTATCAGAACTTAACTTTAGCAACAGACTAGCAGCAGGTAGAGTTTAAAAATAAAAAGTTGTGTGATGTGAAGAAATGCTGTATGTGCAGGGAGCAGCTGATGTCCACAGAGCGTTGGCTTTTACTGTAGGATAAAAAGTATCAAAGCACAAACAAAGAGGTAACTATTTTATATAGCTTGGAGAAACACAAAGTATTTTCAGGAAATTTCTTCCTAGGGAGAGATAACAACCCTCTCTCTTAGATCGCTTTCCTTTTCGGCGTCTTGATGCCAGTCAAAATGCCAGAGCACAAATGACTTCTTGCTACTTCATTGGAGACCTGCCCAGCTTTTTGATATCTGAACTTTTACCTTGGCATGAGATAAACAAAAATGCCCTATTCCAACTCCATACATCTTCCTGTTCCCATTTTTCCCAGGTGCTCTCTGTCTCCACCCTCTTCCTGTGCAGACCCTCTCTGCCCAGTAACTTTGTTTTGCAAGAAGTTGTCCAACACCTTCAAGAGCTGGTAGCTCCAGCTGAGTTTGTCTTTAGTCATTGTCTTGATCTATGAGGACATACCACATTATTCCTTTTTGAATTACAACCACATAATCCCCAAATTGAACAGCTGAAGCTTCTGTGAAACTGCCGAAAATAATGTTTCTTTGGAACAATGTGAACTGGGAGCAAAGGACAGGCATAAAAAGATTGGGAAGGAAGGTTGTTTTATATCTTCTGTATTGGAAAGAACTGAAGCTGCCTTTGTTTGAAATGCTTCTAGGAATAATAGACTAAGATGATCCAGCTCTTGCTGACCCTTGGAGTCTATCGGCTCTGAGAATCTCAGCACTACTGAGATTCAGTTTCAGCAGAACAGAGCCCCCGGGCCCAGCCATGGTGGAAAATGGAGAGAAGCACTGTAGGGACTTCCCAGGGAGCTGTGCTGAACATGGCAAGGTGGAATGTCAGGGGTTACGGATGGAAGTGTACATGCTGCCCTTTGGAGAAGGGTTTGTCGCTGGTCCTAGTGGACTCAAATTGTGGACTAATGTATGGATAAGGTATTTGTGGAGGACAACACCTGTCCCCTGAGTGCATAAAGGTAGAAATGAACTGTTTCTTTGACAAGGAGATGAGAACAATTCAGCTCCTCGAGCTAATTTAGAAACCAAAAGTTAAAACTTCCCTTGGGAAGAGACTGTTTAGGAATAAAGGCATCGGCTAATTAGGCTTAATTGCATTGTCTTGGGACAAGTGATTTATTAGGCCAATCTAGACCCATGATGGGCCTGCAGGGGTGTGTTCTCGGATTCACCAACTGAATGGCAAATATCCAAGAGCATTTTTTAACTTTGGAGTTTCAGGGAGGAAAAAAAAAAGTGAGAGCTTAATGTGCATTCACAACATCGATTCCCATTCTCATTTCTTCAGCCCTGCACATCCTTTTATGTGGCTCCCATGACTGTCTTCTTGTTCTCTGTCAAGCATTTTCTCTCTATCTTCCTACAAATCCTCACTTGTAATTAAGCTGTATCTTCAAGCAATCTTGTTTCTCCTCTCATTATTTATAATCTTCTCATTCTTTCCTCCCTGAAGGTCTTTCCTTATGTTTTGCCATCTTTGCCCTGGTTAGATTCAAAGGTGTTTGAGAGAGGAGCTGTACACCTCTTTGCAAACTTATGGGACTATATATGAGTAAATGTGTTGTATATCAAGTCTGCGTCACCTATATTATAGTGACAGTAGTGTGTTGTTTTCCCTCCTTGTGTATACTCCTGTGTTACTTAGACACTTAATACTAGTTTTGAAAGCTCTAAATGAAATATATGGAAAATCAAACATGGTTCCTGTCAAATTTCTCAAATGCATACTGTAGTGTTTTTAAAAAGCGTGGTGCTGGACTGATTCCTCCTTTTCATGCCTGTTATCAAGCCATCAAAATGTTGGGATAAGTGGCGATAAGTAAACAAAAGCATTTAGCTTCTATGAGCTGCTCCAAAACAGTATTTATAGCAGAGGCGTGTTTGGCTGCAGACTTCTGCAGATATCTGCAGATTTGGAGGTTTTATGGGTATTTAAATCTTTGCTCGATAATGTGCACTTGCTTTTGTGCAAAGCTCCACCAACAATAGGAAGAAATGTCATTTAAAGCATGACGCTTGCCACAGCCCTTTAAAAATAATTTTTATTTTAAGGCTGAGGCTGGTCAAATCCTGCAATAGGTCCTTAATGGTATTCATTCTTCAGTAATTGCTCACTAAAGTAGTGAGTTTGCATGTTACAAATTTCTCATGCATCTCTTTCTGGACCATGCTGATAGGACATACACACTTAGTCTGCTCTGACATGGCCTTTTTCCGCTCCCAGCCTTGGAAATGAGAGGGAGGTAGCTGCATTCCTTGCAGATGCAGTTTTCCATCTGCTGCCTCTAACTTTTTTCATCAGATGGTGTAAGACATAACTGCTTCAACACATGAAAGGAGCCCAACTGGCTTAGCCTGATGGAGAGGTGAACGCAGCCTGGGGGCAACTCTTGTATCCCCATTAACTAGCAAGGAAGAGATCCTGGGGCTCTCCTCTGAGTCTGTACGGTTGCTGTGGTGGTTTTTTTTTTCCCCCCCTCCACTTCAAAGGACGTGTGTTATTAGCTGCTTGCTCTTTGTACCTCAGTTCTCCACTTTGAGACAGGTAATTTTGAAAGCACTTTGCCTTGCTGTGTCCTGATTTGTTGGTGAGTTTTTTGTTTTGTTTTGTTTTGTTTTCCCAATAAGAAAAGGCTGAATGAACTTCCAGCGATGCAGCACTCCAGCTGGTGTCACACACCTTTAAGAAAATGGAAAGAAAACCTTTTAACTGCCTCTTTAATTAGTCACAGAGACGTTATCTTCCCTCTTATGCTTAACTCAATCTGTATGTTTCTGTATCCACCTCGCAGAACCCTTCTCTCTTAGGGAGGAAAAAGTTTATTTTCAACAAAAAATGTCAAGTATATCTTCTGCCATTTCCACTATGAGCTCTCTTACTTCTGTGCAGAAATGTGCTGGAACTAATGCAATTTTACATTGGGGATTTCCTACTAGATGTTGACTCACTTTCAGCATTTGATCATTTTTCACTTTTTCTACTTGAGATTCACATTTTTGTTACTTTCTATGAAGCTTTCCTCCTAAGATCCTCAATTAAACCTGTAGTCTACACATGTCCTTTAGAAATGAGATTTGCTCACGCTTTTGTATTAGTTCATTAGCCCACAGTGGGGAATTGTTTCTAATTTTTCCTTACTGAATGTGCTTCAAGATCACAGTATGCCTCGAAATTGCTCTATGCTGAAAGTACCAGCAATAGACATTATGCTTCTGTGCCATTAATACAGTTACCTTTTTTCCCCATTTATGTCCCCTGGAGTATATTCCTGTAATTGTCAGTTACTGGTTCAGATGGGGTCTCCTGCACTGCATGTCTCTCAGAACTATACGTGTCCCTGTCCTGGCTGAATACCTTTCAGGCTTTAGCCGCAGCTCTGGGATCGCACATACAGCTCCTATTGTGATTCATCTCACAGCCAGCACCTGATTCAAACCATAAGCATTTTTAAAGGTAATTGTAAGGTCATTGCCCAGGTTAAAGAAATAATTCAGCCTCGTTATTGCTTTTAATGTTGGTGTTCTCTGTGTATGCACTGGTGGGTTTTTGTATGGGTTTTCTATTTTGCTTGGTTTACCTCTTGTGTTTATTTTTTTTCTACTTGTTCATGGGGGTTTTGGTCCTCATGGCCCCTCTTTCTCCCAGCTGAACCTTCATCTCTCCTGTGCTTAGCCAGGACAAGATGGTCTCACGAGGGCATACAACTTCATACTTTCCTTTTTCTTTGGGTTCTCTTAGTCAAATCTATTTTATCTTCACCATTGATGTGGGCAAGCTAGATAATTTCTCTTGCCCCCACCTCAGCTCCTTTCCTGGTAAGTCCAGCAAGGCAAGCCCACAGCCTGCTGTCCTTTACTTTGTGCCTATCTCCACACATCTTTTAGTCAGAGGCCTCTTAGAGACCTTCATGATGTATACTGTTTCTTCTTGCCCAGTTGCTTTAGGCCATCCTTCCTCTCTCTCTGTGAAATATTTATCGTCACAGCTGTTTATACCTGATGGTAAGCTCTTGCTATCACAGTCGCTACTCCTCATTTGCCATTGAAGTCATTAGCAGCACTTGGTGACAGGTGCTACTTGCATGGAAATATTATCTTATCCATCAATTATCTTATCCAAGAATATTCCATCTTATGCATGGAAATTACAAGGCAGCTACAGCAGGAGTTTCACTATGGTGCCACAGAAATCAGGGTTCACTTATGTCTGAAGACCAGTTTCCAGTGAGCTACTGGGAACATTATATTCCTGTCATCCCCTTCCTTCTCTGTTTCTCAGCTGGTACAACATCAAATCAGGGAGCTAATAACACTGGTGCAACAGTTTTGGGAAACCCGTAGGTTCTTTCTGTCCCATGGCATGAAAAACAGCTCTTCAAAGTGTTTTATTTTTGTTCAGTAAAATGTACAGAGCTAAGAAAATTAATAATTCTTCAATTTCCTAACCAAATCTATTTTTTCAGCATCTCTCTTTCCATCCCATCATTCACTCACAGATTTCTGACGACTTCCTAGCAACTCATCGTGAGCAAGCGCAGAGGGATTCAGAGTGTGTCGGTGGTCAGTGCTGCAGATACGGTTAGCCTGTGACATGAGAATAAGCTCGTACAAGCGCCCTTGTCCGACAGCTTCTCACCTGCTTCTGCAGTGAGAAGTGCTTTAGGGGCTCCTGAAACCATTGTTGGACTTCATGTCAAACATTTGACATACATAGATTGGACATAGTGTCAAATGTTTGACCTCATGTCAAGCACATCTTAGAGCTCAAAATATTGGCTGCTTATGTGCTGTTGAAAGTCAGGGCAACTACAGCCTTGTAAGGAAAGGTCCCTAAGTCACTTTTCTCTCATGTTCTCCAGTGATGGATAATATTTCACCTTTCTGAAGAGGGACTCTCTAAAACAAATCTAAAAGACGCCCCTTTTTGTTCTCCCATAATGATTTCCTGTCTGAAGCTGCAGCTCAATAAGCTCTGTTTGCTTTCTTGTCTCCTTGAGTATCACTTAGTGTGAGTAAATGTCTTGTAACACAACTACTGGATTCTGCGGCAACTTTGCTGACACTTAAAACTTTGAATTCAATTAGTTCCAGCCACTGACATTAAAAAACCCAAATCTCATCTAGCACGGATTGTTTCTTGTTTCAGGCAAAGAGCAGAGGTGATAACTCTTACATTTTAGCTAATAAGGATTCTCATATGATAAAGGTCTTGCATTCATACTGTGACTACTGTACTCAAAAACAACAGAGACCGAGGAAGCGCACCTTCCGGATCTTAAAATTTTTATATTATGGTTCAGACACATGTATTATTTAGAAATCTATCTGGATATCATCCCCTCAAAGATTCATTCAAGGGATTGAGGAGACTGTATAGTTCACTAAATGCATCATAGTAATAAAAACCATCCAAGTCTCCTTTAAGTCAAAATTCACATTTAAAAATACCTCTAGGATGGATTGTTGCTTTTTCTTCTTGTTTAATTTAATCTATTTGAAACAGCCTAGAAAAAATTACTGAATTCTTAAAGCATGTAATATGCTGGGTTTTATCACCATAATATAATTGGGAACTATTCAATACATTATAAAAATCGCTGAGAACTTTATTAATATCTCTGAGTAAATTGGCTCCCTGCTTGATTTTTAATTTCTGGTGTTAGGCAGAATATTTGATTTCTCCTTACTAAATGTGCTAACATACAGTTGGCTGTATTCCCCCTTTTCATATATCTGATATTTGGCTAGTGGAAGTGATATATGAGCACTTTGTGATAATAGTTGTTCGTAAGCCGATTTAACAGTTTTTAATTCAACTTCATTAGCCTTAGAGGGCTTGTTTTTTGTGAGGTCTTTTTCCAGGATTTAATTTAGGCTCCAATTTTGTCTGCCATTTGATCATACCTTTCTTCTGCCTG